CCCCCCCCCCGAGGAGCCGGGGGCCCGCGCCCCGCGCCCCCCCAGACATGGTGGGCCACCTGCACCTGCAGGGCATGGAGGAGAGCCTCAAAGAGCAGAGCCGGGAGGGCCTGCTGGACAGCCCCGACTCCGGGCTGCCCCCTAGCCCCAGCCCCAGCCCGCCCTTCTACTCCCTGGCGCCTGGCATCCTCGACGCCCGCGCGGGGGGCGCCGGAGCCTCCTCGGAGCCCCCCGGACCCGGCGAGGCCAGAGCGGTAAGCGCGGGGACAGCGCAGGGGGTGGGGGACAAATGGGGGCGAAGGTCTGTACTCACTGCGCCCCAAACGCGGTGCCTCAGAAGCCAGGACTGGGTCCCCCCGCCACACACAAACACACCCCTCCAGCCTAGAAGGTGGCCCAGGGACAGCCACGCTCCCAGGCAGGGGCCAGGGTGCAGGGGTGATGGGGCAGCCTGCCCCAGACCTGCAGACGGCCTCCCTGCCGTGGGCCTCGCACTGAGTGACTGGGGCTGACTGTCAGCCGGGAACGGGCAGGGGTGAAGGACTGCCCAGATTCCCAGGGAAGTTGGCCCCTGGCTAAGTGGGCTTGAACCCCACGCCCACGCTGCGCAGACCTTGGGACCCAGGTCCTTCCCGCTGCTTCTGACCCGGGTCCCTGTTTACAATCCGCCCACCCCAACCCCAACGTGAAAGCCTTTCTTTTTTTTTCTTCATATATTTTTTTTAAAAACCAAACCCAGACAGGAACGCTCCCTTCCCAGGGTGGTGAGGGATGTTGACGTGGAGATGAGGCGGTGCCTGGGGAAGGCTGGAACCCCACGTTAGGAGGCTCAAGAGTTTGTCTCCTGCCAGACTTAGGGGGGTTTTCCGGTGGACTGGTGGCCGAACTGAGACTGGGTGCTCCCCCCCACACACACCCCAGCAGGCAGGAGCAAGGGGTGGGGGGAATCCGGTTCCTTCTGGACTGGAGGGAATGACAAGCTGAACTCCGGAGGTTGCTAACAACCCCAGTGGCATCTGCCTTCTGGACGCTGAACTTTTCTGCCCCGTGCACGCATCCAAACCACTATGTCACCTGGCACCTCACTGGGCAAGAAATGCCTCCCCCAGCTGAAAATCAGAAAGGAAAGGTTCCCTCGCCTCAAGATACTGACAGGAATTTCATTGGTGCCTCCTTTGCTCCTTGGTCCAGTGGGTCCCAAACTTGACTTGGCACTAGAGTATCTGAGGTCTTTAAAAAATACCCACGCCCGCCTCACACCCGCAGACATTCTCATTTACCTGGTACGGGCTGCAACCTGGGCGTCAGGAGTTTTAAAACGTCCCCATTTCTAATGTGCAGGCAAGTTTGGGAACTGCTGTCTTCGACCAGAATCATGCAGTGAATTTGCATGTTGGTCTCTCCTTTTGGGGGCTGGTGGTAGGATGGGGCTTTGAGGGTTTCCAGGGGGTGCATAGAAGTGACTGAGGCTGTTTGCATTTACATCGGTCCTGTTGTTGGAACGGGCCAGCCATCCCACCAGTCTCAGATTGGTGCTGTGGCATGGAGGGTGTCTTGGAATAAATCCCTGCGGTGCCTCACTCAGCGGGGCTCAGAGAAGAGGGACATGGAACCGGTCTTCCTCTTAGTTGCTTGGATGACCCAGAATCCTCCTTAACGAGGGTTTCCTGGATGCTTTCTCTGCCTGCTAGGCCAGCCAGTGTGCCCGACTTACTTGGCTTGACTGTTCCAGCTGATTTTAGTTCCTTTTCTTTCCTTGCTAACCAGATGCCAGGGATGGAACCGTGCTGTCCCTGCTCTTTTAGTTTGGCTTGAAGGCCAAACCTGGGGCGATTTCTGCAGAGGTAACGGTATCTGTTTAGGTAGCCCTTAGGCAAGCCAGGGACTGTCCTAAACCCTTCATGTGCATCCACTCATTTAATTTTCACCATATTCCAATGAAGGATGCATCTTATTACTCCCGTTTTCCAGAGGGGGAGGCTGAGGCACAGAGGCGCTCTGTTAGCCCAGGTCACCTAGCTGGCGAGTAGCCTCGCTGGAACAGAACCCAGGGGTCTGGCTGCAGTCTCTACCCTTAGACCTCATTATAGTCTCCCAGTTTGGGCTGTGGAGCGAATTAACTACCTGTGTGGGGTTTTTCTTTTTCTAATTAAAAAACAAAAAATGCCTGTGACCCTATGGCGTTCTGAGATGCTGCTTTTAATAAAACAAGAGGAAATGGTTGCCATGGGCAACCTCTTCTAAGCCCTAGGCCCTGCGGTGGGGCCCCGCCCACCTACCCCCCATGTTACTGAGTGGCAGGCAGGACTCCCGACCTCCCGGTTAACTCCTGTCAGGTTTCCCTAATCTGGCCTTTAACAACACCCTGCTGGCTGAGGACTAATAGAGAATGCTTTTCAGGTGCAGATATAGGCAAAGCCTGGCCCTCCCAACCTCCTGAAGGGGACGGAAGGCTGTCCTGCCTCTAGGAGCCCGTGGTTGCAGATGCCCAGGCAGAGGCTGGTGGCTGCAGGGCCAGGCCTCCTCCAGCACCTCCCTAGCGTCGGGGGTCAGACCATGTGGGTCTGGGTTTCGGTTTGCTTTGCCCTGGGTAGCTCTCTTGGCTCTAGCACCCGGTTCCCAGCACTGCCTCCCCTCCTCCCCATCAAAACTGGCAGCACACACCCCAGCCAGGGGGTTGAGCTGCAGTTCTGTCCCCAGACCCCAGCTACAGGGGTCTCCACCAGCTTGGCACCCTATTTGTTATGCTGGACATATGTGTTAAATTTGCCCATTCTCCACCCCCACCCCACCCCACTTTGTTTTAATAAGCTGGACTTACGTTCTGGACAACACCCCATTGTCCAGGGTGTCTGGCAGCTGGGAGACCGCCCCGCCCAAGACATAAAAGGCATTGGGAACCAGGCTGGGTGTGAATGAAACCCCACCCCGCCTTGACCATGGCTTTTCTGGCTCTTTGGAGTATAAAGACAGTAACACTGGTGATTCCCAAACCCATGAAGATCTGGGAATCAGACATTCACCCACCAGTACTTAGTGTATGCCCTGCACTGTTTTGGACCGTGGGTGACACAGCAGGGGATAAGGCGTTTAAAGTCCCTGTCCTCATGGCACGGCATTCTAGTGGGACCCAATACCACGTGGATTGATAAGGGCCCTTAAGACTAGAAGCTGGGTGAGGGTGGAGCTACTTTAGACAGGGTGGTTCGGAAAGAGACATTTAATAGAAACCAGAAAAAAACGAGGGAGTGGACTTTATGGTTATAGGGCTGAAGTGTGCACCAGTCCCAGAGAACGGCAAGTGCAAAGGTCCTGAGGCGGGAACAAAATAGGCATGTTTGAGGAGCAGCAAGGCGGCCAGTAGGGACCAGAGCAGGGACTCGGAGGCCAAGCTGAGGCCAGAAAGTAAAATTCCATTTGGTCTTTTAAAATGTACTTGTGACTGTTTTTATTTTATTTTATTATTATTTTTTATTTATTTATTTTTTTTTTAGCTGAGCCATCCTGCTACCTGTTGGCAGCTCAGCGGCTGCTCAGCTCGGGCTGGACTCGAACCGCTGTTGCTCAGAGCTCAAACTCTTGAGCGAGCTCTTAACCAACTGAGCCACTCGGCCGGCCCCATTATTTTTTTTAAAGGCACCGTGAGCTCCCACACCCCCCAAATTAGAAACCCAAATCAGAGACTTGACCGAGATGTCCGTGAGGAACAGGATCTGTGCAGGGCTTGTCTCCTCCAGGGTGGGGCTGGCTCCCCTGTAGGACACCGGGACAGCCAACGCTGCCAGCTGGGCCAGGAGGGGGTTGCCTGTCAGCTGAAACTCATCCCACAAATATTTAAGCCAGGCTGGGCGAGGCATACAACCGTGCACCAGACAGACGCTGTCTGTGCCCCTCCGCCCCTCTCCCCATCCTGCCTGGCCGAGCTGTGGGTATTGGGGGTGCATGTGGGGAGAGGGGTCCTGCTGCCGGTAAGGGTGACTGGGTGTGCAGCAGATGCCCGTCTCCTGGAGTTAACAGGGCAGCTGGGGGAACTAACCCCGCCCCATCTTACTACCCCCCGGGGAGGCCACAAATAGCATTTGGGATCTCCAGCTGAGTTTCCTGGGGCGCATGTTGGAGGAACAACCACCACTAGGGTGGGTGAGCAGTGGACAGATATCATCTGTGTGGCAGATGAAGGACTCAGCCGCTGCGGAGTGGTGACGGGCGGGCGGCGATTGTCTGAGCTGTTCCCTCTCAGTTGTGGAGACAGGGTGCTCCAGCAGCCGGTGGCCTGGGCTCCGTCCTGCGTTGTTCCTGTTACCCCCATCCCCGATCTGCTGGGTCTGTTTACAGGTTGAATGTCTTTCTGAGTGACGCGCTTGAGAATGTCCCCAAGGATGAGGTGCTGGTTCCCCAGGCCAGATTCTGAGAGAAGCCCTGTGGGCCGGATGTAGGAAGGAGTGGTGGGGGTGGGGGTGTCTTAGCCCCATCTTTGAAAATCTCCTAGGGCTGCCCAGCCCTTTGAGACCACCACCCATGGTCACAGCCACCTCTTAGGATCTTGACTGTCACCTCCCCTCCCCCACCCCACCCCTAAAATTCAGGATCCTGAATTTTCTCATTTCTCTGTTTCTGGTCTGTGATGGTGAAACCAAGGATGAGGGAGGAGAAGAAAGGGAGTGAGGAATTTAGGGAGTTAGTGCCCAGGAGGGGAAGGATGGATGGACAAATGGATGAACAGATGGATGGATGGATGAACAGGTGAATGGATGAACAGACGGACAGATAAATAGATGAATGGATGGATGCATGAGTGGATGGATGGGTGGATGGACGGACAGATGGACTGAGGACTCAGCCTCCATGGCCGCCGCCCCCCCTCCCCCATGCAGGCTCCCAGGTGTGTCCCTGACCACTGAAGGGGTCTGAGTAAGCTCAGGTGAGAGAGAGCCAAGTGTGTCAGGCCAAGGTGGGAGGAGCAAGTTTGCAGAAAGGGAGGCTGTGAGGGAAGGAGGGGAGGAGAAGCCAGAAACACCTGCGCCTCCTTTCAGCCCCCGTCTGCTTCATCCTTGATGAATTGGCCTCCAGTGGAAATTCAGTGAAGTCCCTGACAGCCCCGTATCTCTGTGGTAGGCTCACCCGTCTGAGAAACTCAGCTCCATCTGTAGCTATCGTGTGAAACGTAGACAAATAGGCCCACGCCCTTCCAGGTGCTCTGGAGACGACGGAATAAGACGACTGAATAAGCAGGAACCACCTTCCTGGGAAAAAAACGTCCCCAGGCAGAACCTGCCAGGGACTCTCCTGGGGGCCGGCGTGTTCTGTCCTTTGTACTCTTAGCCCCTGGGCTGGGAAGACCCCCAATACCTGCTTAAGTGACGGCTCATGAGGGAACGCTTGTCCCCCTGCAGCAGACCAGGCCTTTGTTGAGAGCAGGGTATGGGCATTCATTCTTAGTGCACAGAAAGCAGGTCGCTTTCTTGGCGGCTGCTCAGTCACTGTGGGGTGTATTTTGGGGACGCGACGGTGCTCTGAGTCTTCAGGGAAGTGGGAGGCCTCGCCCCAAGCCCTCAGTCCCCCTTTCATTGGGGGGGCACAGCCTCGCAGGCGTCATTCAGGGCACCCCCTAATCTCGTAAGACCCCATCTTCACTTGATCACATCTGCAAAGGCCCTTTGTCCAAATAGGGTCTCATTTCTAGGTTACATGTGTTTGTGGGGATCGCAAGCTAACCCACCCCCCTCCTGGCCCCTTGGGTCCACCTGGCCTCCTGTCTCTGGGAACAGGCCTGTCCCTGAGCCCTGCCTCCAATCCGACGGTGGTGTTTGCTCACAGCTTCACTGCCGTGGGCATCAGACCCTGGCTTGTGGGGTCTGTGCTGAGCCCATGACGCTCAGTGGCTCTCCAGGGAGCAGTCCATTCGGGGTCTCCCAGGCTCTCCCAACCAGGCCCCATGCAGCTGCCCTGTTGGGCCATGTTGGGGGAGGGCAACAAGCACAAGAAGCCCCTCCCCTCTGCCCCGGGACTTGCCACCTTTCATAGGAAGGGTGAGAATTTCTCCAGGTCCCTTCCTCGGATCGCGTTCCTCATGGATGACGGTTAAGGTCAACCTTAGACCAGCATGTGAGCTTTTAGTCTCAAATCCCAAATACAAGCTGAAGACAATCGAGTCGAATTCCAATTACAACAATAGGCATCACCGGCCAGTGAGGCCACGTTAGCAGGTGCAAAGCCTCCCTCTGGCTTTGGCAAGGACACCCTTCCCCCCATGCCAGTGTGGGGTCTGTGTGGTGGTCCTTCTCTCCAGGAGCAGCAGTGGGGGGCGGGGGCCTGCACCCTTCTTCTTGCCAGTCCGAGGGCTTGTTCCTCTCTGACTGGACGAAGGTTCACCGTTTTGTGGGCCACATATGGCTTTAGCCGTAACCCATGCCACAGCAGCTATGGGCCGCATGCATCACCCAGGCTGGGCACAAACACCGTTGTACTGTCCCTGTGTGTCCCTGCCAGCCAGGCCAGGACCCTTGGTCAGGCTGGGCTGTCACCGAGTGGCACCGAGCTCTCTCTCACAACAGAGCGGTTATCTCCGCGTCCTGTGGGCTGTGCCCTGCTCGGCAGCCAGGAAGGGGGAGCACGCCAAAATGCCCGTGTGTATTTTTACTTCCAGCCGCCAGCGAGTATTTATCCTCAGGGACGGCCCATGAATCACCGGGCAAGGCGGGTGGGGTTGGCGGCAGCCTGTCCTCTGAACCCTGCTCCCTCTGTGGGCCCAGTCCTCACACCCCCACCTGCCTGCCCAGGAGACCAGGCAGCCAGAGGGACCCCGTGGTACAATAGGGGTCTCCTGGGCCCCTAGAAGGAGCCGGGGGCTGGGGGCTGCCATCCCCGGGGCAGGGAGGGTGGCGTCTGGGGTGGGGCCTCCAGCTCTCAGCTTGTCCGTGCCTGGAATTCACTGTTCTTTCCCTGGCCCTTCACCCCAGAGCTGCGAGGGGACTGAGGGGACACTGCCTGGCTCGCACCTCAGGCGTCCCTGACAGGCGCCCAGGTCGGTGGTATGGGCTGATGGTACAGCCTTGTTTTTACAGATGTGCAAACTGAGGCCCTGTGAACAGGTGGCCAGCCCAGTGGGCCTCTGGGGGGTTCTCTTTAGAGGGAATTTGGGGACAGAGCTGGGCTATGGCCACCCTGGGCATGGGGTGAGGGGAGCTGGCCTGTCTTCCCTCCGGTGGCTCCCTGACCAGTGGAACAGCAGCAGCCGGGCCCCTAGGTGTGCAGGCTCCCCCCCCTGCCCCCCGCATCTTGTGTGCCCCTGCGTGAGCCCCTCCCTGCCCTTCCCCACCCTGGTGGCTCCCATCCGACTGTGCCCCAGTCTTTGAGGAGTGGCTCGTTCTAGTGTGGCTGGAAGGTCGTCCTGCCAGGGCCCGCGGTGTGCCTCCTTGGCTGTGACGGGCGCTTTCCGTGCCTACTCTCCAGCTGGCTAAGCGCCAGGGGCCTGCACCGCTGTTCTGCTGTTTCAACAACCCTGCGGCCAGAAAGACTCAGCTCTGAGCTCCGGAAGCCTGGTGGCTGCCGCTGTCTTCCCTTCGTGTCTCGCCCTGGGGCCCTTCAGGGGCGTCCTTGGGCCTTGGCGGCGACTTCCGGAGCCATCTCGCCACTGGGCTCGCTGGATGCCAGCCTGCGTCTGGGTTCTCACCGGCCTCTTATATCGCCTGTGTCGTGCTTCCAGTGCAGGCGGACTGGAGCTGTTTTTCCACTGGGGCCCTTTGGAAAATGGTGCCCAGAGCCCTGGCTTCCTGGCCAGCCTGTGAAATGAGCCTTGTCCCCTGTGCTGGCGGCCAGCTGGGGAGAGATCCGGCCGGAATGGGGCTGGTGGCACGTTGGCCCGAAGGTCCACTCGGGCGGTGTCAGGGGTTTGTTTGGCAGTTTCTTTAGCCTGGGTGGACCCTGGAGAGAGGCACCCGGTGATTTGCCTCACAAAGAAGGAGGCTGTGAGCTTGGGAACTCTCCTTTCTTGGGGAATGGGGGTGGTTAAAACCAGCATGGGCTGCCTCTCTCTCTACCTCCAGCCCTTCCACCTGTCTGGAGAGAAGAAACACCTCCAAATAACTTAGCACCCATGTTCACATCCCCTCACAGGCCTGTACCATCCTCCCAGCTCGTCAGTGGCCACACATCACCCCCTCTTGAACAAGAAGAGTGCTGGGAGGCACGGTGCCTCGTCCCCCACACACGGGGTCTGGCACACAGTAGGTGCTCAGCATGCAGTAGGTGCTCAGCAGACACCTGCACACATTTGGGAAGCATCTTTTGGAGAGATTGTTGGTTCTACAAAGGTCAAGTCATGGACTTTTGCAACTGGGATCAGTGCCGACAACCAGGGGGCCACGGAGGGTACTGGAAGCGTCTGAATTTTGTCACTACCTATGTGTTTTTTTTTTTTTTTTAATTCAGTCTCCTGACACAATGTGTGCTTGCTTCCAGAAGGTGGGAGCAGTGTTATTTCAAGGTCCAAAGGGTGTGGATTGTACCTCTCTCCAGGGAGAAACACCCCCATCCCCACCCCCATCCAGGGCCTTCCTGAAAAGGAGGACTCATGATACAAGGCAGCTTTTCCCAACGCTTACTCTGCCGGGCACTGTCCACACACACACTACACCCTCTGACTCGCTCGGTCTTTGTGGAAGACTGGCGGGTGCTCCGGCCGCCTCTCTTCAGCCCAGGAGGCTACAGCCCAGAGAGGGGGGCTGACCTTGATGAAGAGGCCTGGGGGGTGCGCCCTTCAGAGGAGCTGAGGGTCTAAGGCTGGTGACATAGCCACCACCTTGAATGATGCACCAGAAGGAAGCAGCTCTGGAAACTCATTTAGCCTGGAGGTGACACACGTGTCACAGGCCGCACTCACCACGCCCCCGCACCCTGCCAGGGGGAACGGGAAGCGGGGTGCCCACACGTGAGTGGAAGGCAGACAGCTGCAACTAGCTGGTGATGGGTCGGTATTAACCATCCACAGTGGCCACCCTGGAAGTAGAAACAGAAGGAAGAGCTGAGGGCTGGTGCGAGGACCTGTGACGGCCCCAGCTCACCACCTGGCTTGTGACGAGGTTCAGAACGTTTCTGACTTAAGGAATGGGGTGAATTGAGGGATGAAGTCATGGGGGAACCCTGAGGAGGCTGCCAAAAGCAGGGTCTCAGAGGAAGCCCTCCTGTCGTCACGTGTCCGGTTCCTGCTTCAAAACGCTCACTTTTCTGGGTCCTCCCGTGGGCTTAGTGTCCAGTGCAGGTGGAGATTTTCCTGGGACACTCGGGGAGGGAAACGGAGAGCACTTAAGGGAGTGACGTGGGGGCAGAGAAAATGCAGAGGCAGCTGGTTCCCTGCGTTGGGTGGACCGCTTCGGTGGGAGGTCTGTGTCTGCGGAGTGGGTTTGAGCAGACGGGCAATGGACAGGGGCTGGAAGGCTGTGGGGGGGGGGCCCTCTGGAACCCAGGGGGAGCGGAGGCGCCAGTGCCAAAGGGTCTTGTAACCCCGTGTCCGTGGCTCCCCCCGCAGCCTCCACCCCTCCCCCCGAACGCCCCTGCGCTGGAGATGAGGCCCCGGATGCTGCCAGTGTTCTTCGGGGAGGGCATCGCCGTAAATCCAGAACCCGCACACGAGATCCGGTGAGTGGGGCTTCGAGGTGGTCCTGACCCTGCGGGCCGGAGGCCAGGCTGGGGGTTCAGCAGGCGGCCCCTCCCTCTCGGCAGCCCCTCTGGTCTGCTCATTGCCAGTAGGAACCGTCTGGCACCTCAGGACCCTTCACCCATCCTGTTTCGCCAGCATCACGTGAGCGCTGGGTTGCTCCATGTTCTACATGACGGTGGCTTTGCCCCTAGGAGTGCAATCCACACTGCAGAGTCCAGTTTGCAGGGTCACATGCTGCATTTAGTGATCCCATCTCTTTAGTCCCTTCTAAGCAGGCACGGTCCCATGGCCCTTCTTTGACCTTTGGCCTGGGTGTTCCCAAAGTGTCTAGGCCATGGGAGGTCCCTTTTCACGTGCACAGTGCTGCCACCCCAGACCCCGGGTGGGTGACGGGCTGCCCAGACCCTGGGCTCACCCCGCCGCCTTCCTGCCCTCCCCAGCTGCAACTCTGAGGTCAAGTACGCCTCGGAGAAGCACTTCCGTGACAACATCTTCTACGCGCCGGTGCCCACCGTCACGGCCTACAGCGAGACGATCGTGGCGGCGCCCAACTGCACGTGGCGTAACTACCGGAGCCAGCTGACCCTGGAGCCGCGGCCGCGCGCCCTGCACTTCCGCAGCACGACCATCATCTTCCCCAAGCACGCACGCAGCACCTTCCGCACCACCCTGCAGTGCAGCCTGGGCCGGCCCAGCCGCTGGTTCACCTCCAGCGTGCAGCTCCAGCTGTGCCAGCAGCCGGGCCCCTGCCTTCTCCAGCCCACGGTGCTCTAACTGGGCGGCCAGCTCCCAAGTGACCCGGCAGGAACCCTGGGGGCGCCGAAGGACCATGGACTCCAGGGGGATGGGGAGGCCGTGGGCCTGGCCGGCCACCAGATGGGTCCAGCATGGCAGAGTTGGTAAATGCATCGATTTTATTAGCCCCTAAAGAGGCAAAGCAGCCTGGCCGTGGCTCTCTGGAGAGCAGAAGGCGGGGGCCATGCAGCTAGGTGGCGGGGGCCCTGAGGGGCAGGGAGAGAAGGAGCCTTGGCTGGGGGTGCCTCCTGCAGCTCAACACCCCACCACCCTGTCTGTCCAGGGCTGGTGGCCTGACCCTCAGGCTGTGTGAGCAGAGGGGTACCATCCCGACACCCACCGCTCCCAGAAAGGGGTGTTTGCAAAGTGGACCTTTCAAATGTGTGCAGCTTGGCCCTGAGAGGCCGAGGGCCGTGACTGGGTCCCCCTGGTGAATTTTGGGCCAGGAGGCTGGATGCTGCTGTTAGTTACATGGTGGGGGTCGGGGGTGGGGGGGCAGCCTGGAGAAGACCTCGCCTTAGCTGTTCCAGTGTCCTCTGCCTCACTGTGGAAAATTTAGGGCACAGCCCGTCTACATGGAGGCCTCTGAGCTCTGTCTGGAGCCTCACCAGCAGGGCGTCCCTGCTAACCTGTCCACGCAAGCCTTCAGGACCAGGACTCTCTGACGTCAGAGCCTTCGTGCCAGGTGTCAAGGGGAGGTGTTCAAACTCTCTGGACATGTCCCTTGCCTGAGGCTGTCAGCTTAAAGAGATACCGTGGGGGGCCGGGCCGCCAGTCCGTCACTTAAACGTGATGATTCTACGGTGACAATGCTGCAGGGTTCCCCTTGCATGTGTGATGTCACAAGAGGAAGACCAGTCAGGACACGCAGGGGCTGGGGTTCATGCCCGGCACGCATGCCCCAGGAGCCCCCGAGGTGTCTGCGGGAATGCCCCCAGGATGAATGGACCTAGTGGGTCGGGGGCTTGGCCTGCCACTCCCCTGGTCGCCCCCTCCTCCCCAGACAGGGCACGGGCAGGGGCTTTAGTGCCCTTATGCAGGTGAGGAGGGGGGACTCAGAGCTCACGTCCCGGAGAGGCAAAATGATGTATTTTTATATATCTACACAGACGGTGTGTGTTCTCTCCAGAGATGCTTTTTGATCAACAAAGAAATAACTTAAGAATCGATTATCGGAATAAAATGTCCAAACCCAAAGAGACTGAGACCCTCAGATACCACGGGGGTGGGGGGAGGGTAAGATTGGTCTGCGGTGGCTGTGGTCCCTCCCCCCGCTCACAGGGCTCAGAGCCCTGTGCACCCCCATCTCCACCTTTCTGTGAAAGCCTCCACCCAAGAGTCTGTTAATAAATGCAGAGGCCCAGGCCCCACCTGGGACTGCTTCCATGGATGGCCGGTAGAGTCTGGGTTTTTGACACTCCCATGGCAGCTCGCACTTCAAATGCCGGGCTTCCACACCAACAGAGCCCCGATGCCCACCCAGTCCCTGGAGAAGGGCCCCTGCTGCCTCTGCAAAGCAGGTGGCCATGGCCCGCTTCCCACCACACCTCGCTTCGCCCCCTCATCCACGTCCTTGGAGGGGCCTCTGGGCTGTGAGTGCAGTTAGGGAGACGCTCGGCAGCTGAGGGAAGATGTCCCCCGTGAGTCAGGCTGGGGGTGTGTCTTTTGACATAAGAGGCTTTTTGCAGGGGACAGATCCCTCCTCTGAGGGTGCGGGTCACAGGAGCACAGTGGGCAGTGGCAGCGTGGCCTCTTGACCTCCCAACCCTCGCCTGGCAGTGTGTAAAATAATGACAAAAGGACACTGGCTAACTCATCCAGCACTCAGGCTCCAGGCAGGTGTTAATCACCCATGAGGGTTCTCGCAGCCCGACCTGCGGAGATGGGCCCTTGTCTCCATTTTCCAGAGGTGTTAGGTAAGGCCCAGAGAGGTTACAGAACGAAGCCCTGACACAGGGGATGGGCCCAGTGGCTGGAAAGCGAGCAAGTGACCTTATTTCTTTCAGCGTCTGTAAAATAGGCACATGGTCTGACCTCCCAGGCTGCTGGGACGATGAGAATTCATGCTTGTAAAGCCTGTGCTGCAATTGACCCCAGCTGGGACCGTTCCTGGGGCAATTGACCCCAGCTGGGACCGTTCCTGGGGCAATTGACCCCAGCTGGGACCGTTCCTGGGGCAATTGACCCCAGGTGGGACCGTTCTAGCAGGGGCAGAAACCCTCCTGAAGGTCTGCGGGCCAGCTCTGGCCCCAACACCCATCCCGGGCCCTCTCCCTCAGCCTCTTCCTCTGTCACCCCTGCCAATGTCTGGGTTCACACTCACTTGGCAGACCGCCCAAAACCGGCGTCCCCGCCCTCTGGACTCGATGGGTCCCACCTCTAGGAATGACAAGAACAGCAGGCCTGGCAGCCGACAGGCAAGGGCACTTACTCTGTCTGCAGACAGTCTGGCCCTGCTGTCAGCATTTCTCGCATTTAATCTTCACCGTGACCCCGTGAGGAAGCAGCATTGGCCCAACTCCAGAGGAGCTGCCCATGGGAGGACAGCCTGTCTCCTGGCCTCGCGGCTAAACCCTCGAGGCTTCCTGGAGAAGCCATAAAACCGATTTTCTTTGACGGCCCTCCTGAGCTTCCTCAAGGGCAGAATGGCCGGGAGACCCTTCCCCACCACACACACTGGCTCCCAAATTATGCAAACAAGATTCTCGGTTGCCAGACCGCCCAGTTCCACCCCTTTCCTGTCAAACCCATTCTGTCTTTGTTCCTGGCCTCCTGACGCCTGCACAGGCGAGTGCACGGTGTCTGCACAGAAAGACCCAAACAGCGTCTCCGAGTTCCTCTCACACAATATCACTGTCCCTATTTTACAGCTGGGAGAACGGTCTCCCCCGGCCTGTTTCTCCCTCACGATCCGTCAAGCATTCTTGCCAGCCAATGACGCCCTTTTCAGAAAACCAGCCTTAGTGGGCCTCAGCCCGTTCCTTCTCAGAAACTCCTGGCCTCCACGTTGACTTGCGTCCAGCCAGCCTGGGATCCCTCGTCTGTGGCCGGGTCTTACCTGTCCACACAGGTTCCTTCCGCTCAGTCCATCCTTCCCTCACGAACCACTGCCTCCAGGAAGCCACCCGGACTGCTCCGATTCAGTGGTCACAGTGTCTGCTTCTTCCCGCCCCAGGAGGGTGTCCTGAGCCAACCCCAGTGCCTTGGGGACCAGCCATTCCCGCCCTCCCTGTGGGAGGCAGCTCTTTGGGCCGGAGGGTCCGGCCTCCTTCTGGGGTCACCTCCTGGCCAGATGGAAGGGAAGGGGGCAGGTCCTAGGTGCCCAGCTCCGACCTTGGGAACCACGCCTGCCCCTGGGGAGGCCACAAACCACCTGCATCAGAAACAGCTGGGCTGCTTATCGAAAACACATTCCCAGTCCACCCTGAGCCTAGAGGAGCATATTCACGTTCTCTAGGTGAGGCCCAGAAATCTGCGTTTTAACCAACTCCTCCATGTCCTAAGACACGGGACATTTGCCACCAGCTGTCCTTCACGTTACAAATCACATTCTAATTTTCTATTGAATCCGAGCCTCCCAGTGTTGGTTCCGCCTGATACAGTCCCCAGGGGGCTCAGGATCAGAAAAGGGGAGACAATAGCTCTGCCCTGGATGGCTCTGTCCAGTTTGAGACTGGGGAGCTCACAGCATGTTATTGAGACCCAGAGGAGAAACAATGGAGACGGATGTAATTAGAGGAAGTAACGCCCCAGCTGGGTTTCGAAGCACGTGCAGGAGTTTTCCAGGGGGATGGGGATCAGGTGAACAGCCTAAGCCTCCGTTTTAAAGGCAGAGCGGTGAGGAAACCAAACGAGACGGGGTGGGGTGAACTCTTTGGGGATTGAAGACTGGCTGGTTCCAATAGGAAGATAGGGTGGACCCTCCAGGGGCACCAGGAGGCCTCTCCCGACAACTGCCAACACCCCCGTGGTGGGTCTGGGCCGCTGGCCTCGTTAGGACTGCCAAGCAGTGCCAACTCTGAGGCCAGAGACGGAGGGCGGGGGTGGGGGGGTGGGCAGCGGGCGAAGATGACCATGCGGCTGATACTAGTCTCCCCGCCCCCGCCCCAACACGCCACTCTAGTCTGACCACAGCTGAGGGAAATACCATGGGACCCAGCATGCGTGGCCAGCACCACCTGACCCATCCTGGACTTCAGGTGGAGGTGCCTGTGCCCTGAGTGGAGGGAAACCCTGCCCAGGACAGGGCCCTTGGCTGGCGCAACACTGCCACCTGCCTGCCAGCCTCAGTACTGCAGCCCGGGCACCAGGCTGAGCCCTGCGGGAGGACCAGGCCCACGGCACAGAGAAAACAAGGCTCTGAGAGTCCCCCGAAGTGACTGCCAGCCCTGGAAGCAGCCCCGTGTGGCTCCACAGCCCCCTGCTCACTTTGCCCCACGGCACATGCTTAGAGGGTAAGCTTGGGGTGACGGGATGTCAGGGAGGCTGGGCGGTCTCCTGAGGATGCAGACCCCCACTTCCTCCGACCTCCCCAGTCTAAACCCCATGCAACTGGGGTGCTGGACCGGCCCAGACACTGGGCACCACCAGCTTGGAGGTTGGGCAAGGGATGTTGATTTCTGGTTCTCTGCTGCCCTCAAATCCTATTGGGGTCACCTCTGGAATACTGAATGTGAGGCTGAAGTCCGAAGTCTGGTGAGGGGTACACGTCTCTGGGCTGCGGCCATCCTTGCTGGTAAGGCCCCATCAGAGCCTCAGAAGACTGGTTCCAGGCTGAACAAACACGGTCTCCTTGGTCAGATGTGCCGGCCTACTCACGAGCCGGCTGGGCCAGGCGGGCCCCTCTCTGGGTATCTGGGGTCGTCTGTCCCTGGGTGGGCCGAGAGGTCAGCCAGCACCCCTGGGCTGCCTCGGCCAAGAGGCTGAGGGAACAGCGACCGGGTGGATTCCAGGACCCCTGGACCCCTGGGTTTAGCACACACCCACGCCTGCCTTGCCAGAACGCCTTCCCCTGTGCCCCCAACACCCTGAGTGGTCATGAATGGGGTCAGGACGGGGCACAGATGGGCAGTGACGTCTCCCAGTTGCCCTTCAGAATCAGGCACCCAACCTGGCAGTGGGGCTGACATCTACATACGTGAGCTGGGACTAGGTGGGCGGACCAGGCCGGTGGCAAGCTTCACTTGAGAGACTGAGGTGGGCAGGACGCCCGCAGAGGGGAGGGGCTCGAGGCCCCCCCCCCAGGCAAAGCGCGGCTGGTGTGCACGGCAGAGAATCACAGCCTTTCTGGGCTCCTCGGAGCGGCGGGCGTTGAAAGAAGACTCCTTTTTGAGACATGTTATTCCAAAACCACAGTGAGCATTTTGGCAGCTGCTTCGAGACCCAAGGGGGTGAGGGCTGATCCCTTTTCTGCCTTGTAGTCAGAGAGAGCAGGGACAGCCAAGGGTCTGCTTGTCCCTTCACGTGGCTTGGGCGGGAATGACACCAAAAGCACCTAACAACCGATGATGGCACCTCGGACACCCTCGACCTGAGTGTGAGACTGCCCTGTGGACCCCATGGGTATCTCCTTTCTGTGAGTGTAAATACTCACCTGTAAAGGAGCCCAGTCTAATGAGCTAGGGGGATGTTTCCTTGCCCACCCCCAGGATGACACTCCCACTGTCCCCCAAGCCCCAGTCACCTGTCCTCCTGACTGCCCAGCCTGAGACAGAGAAGAAGCCTCTGTGACTCGAGTATAATTCGCTTTTTAATGAGAACAACGTGTGTAAATGACAGAGCGCCACTGCCGTGCGCAGATGGCAGTCACAGAATACCCATCAAACTCATTCTGCCCAAGGAAGGGAGGGAGGGAGGACACAGGGGGCTCGAGAGCCAGCGGCCCTGCCCCCTCGGCCCTGCGGACAATGGCGTCACCGACTGTCCGTCTGCACACGCCTCTTGAACGGTAAGCAGAGATCGAAAGCACAGCAGCAATAATACTGGGTAAGTCCTTCCTTGCGTAAAACATCTGAATTAATTCATTGAAGGTATCAAAAATATACCCTGTAAACCAATACATCATTTACACCTGCCTTTCTTTCCCACCGCTGCGGCAACGATGTGTGAAAAAAACAGTCCAGTTCTTCAAACAGCTGCGCGCCCCAGGCCGCACCTGGCCCTTGCGCCCGCCCAGCTGGCCTGACTTGGGTTTCCAGCAGTCTCGCTGGCTGGGGCAGCCTGTGGGGACCGGGACGAGAGCGCTGGGGGCTGGACAGGGCCCATGTCCTGTCTGTCCAGAGCGCTAAGCGGGATGGGGGCGCAGGGAGGGGGCGGGGGGCTGCTAGCTCAGTTTAGACTTTGGTTCCAAATGCATTAAGGGGGGAGGCAGTGGTGTGGGAGGTGCGTGGTCGTCCTGCTTTGGGTCCCTGGCCACCCCGGCTGTGTGCGTGTGGCTGGCACACGCCTGCCCGGCCCCTCCCCGGGTCCCTCCCCTCCCGAGCACCAGGTAAACATCCCCTGAGTAAGGTCACTGCACAGGGCCAGCCCGGGGCGGGAGTCCTAGTTAAGGCTTTAGACAGGCAAGGATGCCAGCTCTGGATGGACGGACAGACGGTGCACAGGCAGACTCAGGGGCTCCATTCTTGGCCGGGGGAGTCAGCGGCCGCCCCACCCCGTCCTGACAGTCACTCGCTGTCGGAGAGCGTCTCGTACTGCGAGCAGAGCAGTGGCTTGGGCTCCTCATCCCAGGCGTGATGGGGGCCGGCGAGGGGCCCGCTGCCAGTGGGGAGGCCCGGCGGGGGTGGGGAGGCCATGACACCCGCCTGGAGCCGCATGATCAGGGGGTTGTAGGGGAACGGCGTGGAACCTACCAGAAAGACCGGAAGAAACGCCCAGGAGGCCCGGGTGAGCCAGGCAGCCCCCCATGGGCCTACCCACCCACCACACCAGAAACAGGGGCCTTGGGCTCTGGTCTGGCAGCTGTCCCAGGCCCTCTAACTCCTGGACGGTCTCTCCGTCCTGCCCGCCTTTCCCCACCTCCGCCCCATCATGCTGGCCACCCGGCGCAACAGATGCCCTGCCCCTTGGGGCCTCTTGAACCTACATGACATCACGCGCTCCCACGCTTACATCTCCAGGGGCTCCGCCCAGCCCATGGGATAGAGCCCGGCCCACCGCCCTTTCTCTGCACTTCCTGAATCCTGCGCCCTCCTGCTGGTCAGGGCCAGAGGCCAGCCAGCCTCCAGGGACAGCCCTCCTCACACCCTTTCCTTCCACCCGGGCCCTCGTCAGAAGCGTCCTGACTGTGGGCCAGGGCTCAGCTGTCCAGGCCCCTGTCCAGTTCTCTAGAGCAGGCCTGGCCACGTGCATGCACACAGTAGGTGCTCGGGCAGCCGGCGGGCCCAGGGCGGCGCTCGGCATTCTGCGGACCTGCCTGACCCCATCTGACGCTCACCTGCAGATGAGGGCCGGTCTTCCCACACGCGGTTGGTGAGTGGCGTCCGGCGGTTGCAGTCGCCCTCTGAGTGCACCGAGGAGACGGAGGGTGGCCGGTCCCCCGACGCCAGGCCCGGGGCCGGGGACTTGGCTTTTCGGCTGCTGGGTCTGCCAGACACTTTGGCCTTCCCGCCACCACCTGCAGGGGACACATGGGGAGGGGGTACAGTTGGACAGGCAGGCAGCATTCACACGGCTGGGGGCAGGGAGTGGGGGGGACGGGGAGGCCCTGGCTGCCTGCTTCCCAGGCTCCCCGAGGAGGGAGAACTGCAGCTCAACCCGACAGCCCGACCAGCCAGAAGCCTGGATCTCGGAGGTGCGTGTCTGCTGCGGGGATGGGTCACACTGTCGGCAAAGCCCCTCAGGCTGCCCTGCGGCCCACCTACCACCCAGGGGCTGAGGCCCTGAGCATGGACCTCAGGCCTCTGGCTCGGCCCTGACACTGCCCCAGGACTGCGCCGGGGTTGGGCAGGTGAAGGCCCTCTGCTGCAGGTAAGTCAGGACCCCTGAGGCCAGGCCTGGGCCCCCCTGGGTCCAGAAACTTCCTGAGGCCGCAGGGTCTGGGCCAGACACACAGGCCTGAGCTCTCTGCCGGGCCCCGGCTCTGATAGGCCGTGTGTGACTAGGGACCTGGGCAAAGGGGGAGCTGAGCCCTCTGGTTCCCATGACTCATCTGAGCGTGGGGCCAGCAAACAGACTGGTCTCCTCCCATCAGCCCGAGGGCCAGTCGTGGACACGCTCAGTGGCCCCAGCAGACGCTGAGCCCACAGGCCTGGCAGCCATGAGCCCAGGGGTCCCCCCTGATCCACACAGACTAGGTGGGACCTCACTGCAGCCCGATCTCCCCCGAGGAGACACAGACGGGCCAGGATGTGGGCATCCCTGTGTCCAGCAGGGGGGAAGGCGGGGCAGGGCTCGGGCGGCAGTGCGAGTGTTTTTAGAAAAGCAGCAGCTCCTCGGGCCTGGTGGGCAAGGGGGGTCGGGGGGACGTGGACACTCGGGGATGCCTGCCCAGCGTGGGATTAGCCAACTGTAGAACCACGTCAAACACGCACAAAAATAGTCAGAAGCTCCAAAGCTGGAGGGGGGGTTGGTGAGAGGAACGCGGAGGCGCAAGGATTAATGACACCGGGTGGGGACAGGCGGGGCGGGGGCTGGGGGCGCCGAGGCGGAGGAGGCCTGCAGACCTGGCGAGGTGAGTGCGTGTTCACTCCGTCCGTCAGCAGCGGTTATGGGCATAGCAGCGGGCAGGCTGGCACTGGCATTCAGAGCGTTAAAAGCATTGGCGCCGAGCGGGTGCTCCTCCCACTGGTCATATTTACCCATGAGCGCCTTTCTAATAATGGCCTCCAGCCCCATGTTGGTGCTGGCATGCTCCTGCACGGCCTGGCTTCTGCAGGTCATGAGGCCTGGGAGAGAGACACACACACACACACACACACACATACATACACACACACACACACACATACACACACACGAGGGCCAGAGGGACAATGGAGAGAGAGGGAGAGAGAAGCAGAGAGGGAGAGAGGGAGGAGAGAGAATACAGTGAGCACATTTCGGCGAAGCAACACGTTTCTTCATGTCCCTGTGCCCCTGGGTTTCCTGCGGGTGGGGACGGGCGTGGGGTGGGGAGGGCTCCCGCTGCCTTGGGCCCTGGAAGCTCTTAGGCATTCCTGGGGGGAGGGGGTGTTAGGGAGGTTAGATGACACCCCCTCTCCCCCAGCCTCCTTCCTACTCTGCCCTCTGGGAAATCGGAATATCCCCGTTCTGCCCCCCCCCCTAATCCCAGCTGGGGTTGCTTCATGTTTTTCAACTCCAAGTGGCTTTAAAAAAGATGGAGTGGAGGAAGGTGTGGGAGGAATCAGAGGGCTGCCCTGACTGGGGACGAGGTCACTGGGAAGCTAAGCCAAGCCAGTGCCTGGTATTGGGCATTGGGCGGTCAGGGGGAGGTCCACCCTGGGTCCCCAGGGCTGGCGGAGGGCTGGGGAAGAGGCTCAGGGAAGGAGGGTGACTAGAGAGTCTCCCCGCTGCCCCCGCCCGTGAGGCCTGGGACCCTCAGCCTCACCTGCCCCCCAAGTGGGGCCTAACTCTCCTCCACCCACCTCTCCCCACCTGGGAGCCACGAGGAGAAAGAGGTGCAGAGACGGTGAGATGTGGGGGTCGTAGCCATGCAGTTACGGTGCGTGCGGGGGACAGGGCAGAGCTAGAGACAATTGCACGACCGCCCCCCAGCCCGGCCACCCCGTCACGAAGTGGTTGAATCAACACACTGGTCCCAGACAGACCCGTCCAGACACTCTCTGTGAAGTCACGTTGATTAAGCCTCCTTTTCTGGTGACCATCGGGACCCCTGACCCTTTCCTTTTTTTTCTTGTGAACCATTCTGGGGACTTTTGCAAACCCTGGGGCATGTCTCTCTTTTCAGCAGTTTGGTTACACCAGACGTTGCCCATGAAGCCTCAGGCCCACTCTGCCTGCCACCCGGCAGTTATTTCCATGAATTTTAAAACTTCCGCTCTGAGCAGACATACAAACACCAAGTGGGCAGAGAACGCGTCTTTCTGACCTTAATTCGTCAGTAAACGGAGACTGACAGCCTCTGTGAGGCTGGGCGCCACCCGGCAGCTTTTAACATCACATTTCCATAGCAACCAATTGCCATTTACATTTTTCTTTTCTTCCTTTTAGTTTCAAACCCATTCACATAAAGGCATAAAGAGATGCCCTTGCCATCCTTTTAGCTGTGTCTTGGCCACATTTCATCAGCACTTAAAAAAAAAAAAAAAGCCACATTCTCAAGAAAAAGCAAAATTTCCAGCACGGGTCGGCACTGAAAACAAAAAAAGTATTTACGATCCTGCACGCTAAGAAAACACTTAAGAAGTGGAAAAAGACACGAGGCACACAGGTCGTGACAGTTTTGGGTCAGATTAGCATCTTAGCGATCACAGATGTGACCGAGCCTTCTACCCAAGGTCCTGGGTCCATGAGCTGACGGTGCTGGACAGGAAGCCCGTCTCCAGCTCCAAAGGCAAAGTCTGACGCTGGGCTTAAGCAGCAGAGACCCGGGTCTGGAGAAAATTATTTTGTGTGGACCAAAGAGATTTTTTTTTTTCTAAAAAAGGTCAAAGATAACTTACATACAAGTTTTAGCCCATATCGTCATTGTAACCTCTGTATGAATTTCTACAAACACGTCCACCTGCGTGTCTATGTCAAGATTTGGAACATTCCGGAAACATTCATTTCTAACCATCTTGTTGTTTCGGCCAAATTGTCTCATCCCTGTTGCCTGAGCCTCAGCGAAGCTTCTAGTGTCTCTGGATAGACAGACACACGCTGGTGGGGACGCCACTTGGAGGCCCTGAGGGCCTCTGAGAAAACCCTGCTGTCCTGTGCTCACCACAGTCCCAGGGACAAGGGCCCCCAGGGAAGGTTGGCACATCCCCCGCTCTCCTGGCCTCTGGTTCCCACTGAAGGACCACAGCACAAACAAACAACAGCCCTGCAGACGCGCCCCCCCCCCCACCCCCGCAGGGGCAAGGCCTGCCCACGGAGGGCGCCACCCCGTCTGCTCCAGGCTTAGCCCCGCACACCACACTCACCAAGGCACTTCCCTAAAGCTCCTGGAGGCAACATGAATACAGTGTGGCCCCCACCGGAGGCTGGGGTCCAACCCCAAGCACCCCCAAGAAAGCTTAAGTTTTAGCATAAAAACGGGGAGTGAATTTTACACCCAGCTTTGTAATATGTCCACGCTGATTCCTAGCTCCCCGGCTCGGATTTTCAAGTAAAGCTGATGATCTCACTATAAAGAATGCACACACAGGCCCCAAGTGGAGCCTGTGTCCACCACACAGGCCCACGCCCTGCCCCCACACGCACACGCACACCCACACCCACACCGAGACCCAGCAGGTGAGCCGCGTAGGCTCCGTCTGTGCATCTAATGTGGCACTAAACGCCAGGTGCTTGGAATTCAACCCCAAATGGAGACCCTCGCCCAGCCCCGCAGGCCCCACTCCAGGGTTTGTTTAGACCAGAGGAGGGGCAGCACCTGAACTAAGGCCCCTGTTGTCATGACTCCGGCTGGGTGGGGACCCCAGTGACCTCCCCAGGGCACGGCAGGGACAGGGGCGGGGGCTGCGGGGGTGTAGCCACGCAGGGCGGTTACCTGCTCCGGTGATGGCCGGCATATTGAAGATCTCTGTCCCGGGCTGGCCGATATCTGGGGGGGCAGGGGTGACGAGATGCTGAGACCCACAGTCCCCAGGTCCTGGGACACCACCCCGCCCGCGGTCCCCCACCCGGCGGAGGCGAGCTGCACGCCTGGGCAGCTGGGACAGGGCCCGAACTCCTGCATTTCTAAGCAGCCTGCTGGGGCTGCTGACCTGCTGCCTGTGCACTGCACTCAGCAAGGCTCCGGAGGGGCCCGCCTGGGCCGGCGACCATCTCCAAGGTTGCTACCCCAGGCCCCGAAACAGAAAAGCCTCCGAAATGCCCCCAACCCCCCTGGCCTCATAATGAGGCTGCTTGAGGCTGGACTGTGATGGGTTCCTGTCATTCGCTCTCCTGTGATTGGCTGTGTGCCAGGCGCTGTGCTAAGGGCGAGGGAGCAAAGCTAGGGTTCATGTCCACTAACCACATACGTGGGGCGACAAAAACCACAAATGGGATGAGCTCTGTAAACGGGGCAACACATGGGCCTTGTGGGGCTCTGACCCCAATCTCTGGCGCCCGTACGGGGCTAAGCACAGACCCGTCCACGCCTGCGAGCGCTGGGCACCATTCCAGGCGCCACCTTCTGTGCCGCTAAGTGTCTACAGCAAAGACAGAGGCCGCCCCTGGGGTGCAGGGTCACGGCGGGGTGGCCGGGGTCCACCTGGCTCTGGGGAGCCCCGCCCCGGGTCTCCGCGGCCCCCTTACTGTATTCTGGCTCGTTCCGGTTGTGTGTGTTCAGCTTCTTGTTGATCTCCTGCTTCTTGGACTTGACCATGGCGGAGTTGCTCTCGGTCAGCTTGCTGAAGAAGGCGGGCGGCTGGCTGGTGTTGCCTGGGGACTTGGAGCCCATCCTGCTGCGGGGAGCAGACCCCCAGGTCAGTCCCCCTGGTGCTGAGCTTGGGCCCTCACCGCCTTGGCTGCCTTAGAAACTCGGAACCAAGCTTCTCCCAACCCATGCCCGCATCTCCTGAAATCGGCTCGCAGTTCGCCTGTCCTCGGGCTTGGGGGATCCCTAGCGAGCCCCAGCTGCCCTGGTAGCTCACACCTTTCTTCCTACAACAGCCCCCCCCCACACACCCTGAAAAGGGCCTCGGGAGCCAGAAGTGGGCTGAGACCACGTCTTTCTCCAGCGCCAGTGGGCCTGGCTGTTTTCTCTGCCTCTGCTCTACCCTCAACTCCAATCTGGTCCAGCACACTCAGCTCATTATTTCTCAGGTCCTCCGCGCAAGTGGCAGCAACCAGGGCCTGGCCTGAGCTGAAAGACCCCAGCCCAAGGCCTGGGAAGGTGTCACGGAGATCCCCCAGGTTTGTGACATCTGCTTAGCACTGAAGCCCTTGTTAGGCCAGGGGCTGAGTCCTAAGCATCCGTGGGGGGTGGGGAGTGCTGACGGGCAGGCGGGGCCGTTAGGGTACCTGGGCTCGGGCCAGCCGAGTGGCTCAGTTGGTTAAGAGCTCGCTCAAGAGTGTGAGCTCTGAGCAACAGCGGTTCGAGTCCAGCCTGAGCTGAGCAGCCGCTGAGCTGCCAACAGGTGGCAGGATGGCTCAGCTTAAAAAACAAACAAACAAACAAACCAACGAAGGTACCTGGGCTCCACCTGCTCCCCATCCCGGTACAGCAGGGGGTACATGGTGCTCCGAGGATGCCCAGGCTCTGCCATGCCCTCCGGTGGGGACACAGGTTCGATACCATCCTCACCGCTGCCCAGGGCTGACGTCTTACTCGGCTCTGGAGACCTGGGAGGAAGACGCGCCCGGGCTGCAGTTAGAGCTCAGAGCTCTCCCTCCTGAAGGGGACGCACACCTCTCCCACCAAGCCCTGCCTCACCCCCAGCCAGGCTCAGCACGCGGCTCCTCTAAGGGGCCGGGTAGTACACATGTTAGGTAGTGGGGGCCACTTGTGGGCTCTGCCACATGTTCTTTTATTTTTAACAACACTTTAAAAACATAAAACCTGGGCCGGCCAAGTGGCTCAGTTGGTTAAGCGCTCGCTCAAGAGTTTGAGCTCTGAGCAATAGCAGTTCGAGTCCAGCCTGAGCTGAGCAGCCGCTGAGCTGCCAACAGGTAGCAGGATGGCTCAGTTTAAAACAAAACAAAACAAAACAAAAAAAAAACAAAACCACCTTTAGCGCGTGGCCGTGGGCTGGATTAGGCCCATGGGAGGTGGTTTGTTGACCCCGGCCTGCCACACCCTCTTGCCAGGTACCCCATGGTTCCCCCAAAGACATCCAGCTGTCTTTCCACCCCTGTGCCTCACTCACGATGTGCCCCTTCCCTTTCCTCTTTGATCCCCCTAGGCCCCCAGGGCGACCAGGGGTGCAAGGGTGTGTGCCTGCTGGGAGGCTGCTCTCAGATCGCACGGCTGTGGTTTGAGTCCCAGCTCTGCCACTTACTGGCTGTGTCCCTGTGGGCAAGTGAATTCAGTTCTCCCGCCTTAGTCTCTCCGTCTGTGAAGTGGGGACACTGCTGCCCACACTTTCTGCAGTTGTGGTGAGAACCCCAGTTAACGTGTAAGGCGTTTAGCTGGGTGCCTGGACCCCATGGACTGGGAGAGATGGACGTTACCTCTCAGCCACAGCCCCGAGCAGACGCTCCCATCTCCCCAAGCCTGTTTCTCATCTGTGCACTGGCACACACGTGACATAGGTGTCCTGGCGACTGACCAGCAAGGGGCACCCCCCCGCCGCCAACACTCACCTCTTGCCCCCTTCGCTGTGGGGGGAGCCGCGGGCTGGGGCGCCGTGGTCCAGGGGCGGGAGGTAGAGGTCGGTGGGCGTGCGGCGGAGGTCCAGGACGGGGCAGCTGGCTCCGGGGAAGGAGTAGAGGGGGGCGGGGAGGGGCGCGCTCAGCTGCTGCGGGTGGTGGCGTGTGTAATCCTGCGTGATGACCTCCTGCAGGCCAAGGGGGGTGGGGGGGGCACAGGGTCAGGTGGCAGAGCCTTCCAGGGGGGCGAGGGCTACACTGAGCTCTGAGGGCAGGACCCCGGCTTGATGCTGGGTGCCCTGTGTGCTTTGGACCTGCCCACAGCAGCCTCAATGCCCCACGTGTGCCTGGGGCCGGCCAGAGGTCTCAAACCGGTGTCCCCCAAATGGGTGGGGTTCCACTGGCCAGCGTGTGTGCGATGCGGACCAGGGACGGGCGCTGAGGCTTCATCGGCTGAACGAGGGGCAGCCACAGAATCGGAGGCTGAGACTCTGGGATCCCTGGTGTGACTTGCCCTTGCCAACCCCGGATCCCCGGCCCACACCACCCAGACTTCTACCCCCCACCCCGGGCCTGGTCCCGCCCCAGGTGCAAAGGTAACGAGGGGCATAGAAAGGGTAGTTACACTGATGTGCTGTGCCAGGGTGACGACCCGCTGGTGACCTTTGACCCCCGGGGCGGTCTGCAACAGTGGGCTGGAGGAGGGCTGGCTCTCGGGCAGCGGCCGCAGGTGTGGGAGGTGTGTGGCCTCCCCGCCAAGCTTCCCGGGGCCTGCGGGCAGAGAGAGCTGGTCAGCGTGTGGGGGGCAAGTGACACGCGTGTCTGGTGCAGTGCTATCCTCAAATGCCAGCTGTGGCGCTGGGCCAATCCCTCCACGTCTGGGCACCTCCTTCTTCTCAGCTGTGTGATGGCACAGCAGCTGCCCCTGTCCCGCAGGGCTGTGGTGAGTGGAGGTGGGGGCATGGGAGCAGGGTGGGGCCCTACCTGGCTGCTTGTGCCGCAGGTCCCCCTCCAGGTGGCTCTTGTCAAGCTCCTCCAGATGCTTGGGGAGCCCCTTGTCGTGGGTCAGGCTGGGCGAGCTCACGGGGCTGATGGGTTCCACCCCATCGGGGCTGTAGCTGCCGCCATGGTAACCTACAGCAGGCAAGGCTGAGGGTCAGGCCAGGCCGGGACTTGACGCCGCGCTGCCCCTCCCGGTCCACCCTTCCCTGCCCTCCCACGCTGGCTGGGTCCCCCAGGCCCAGCAGGGGATTTGGGGGATGAAGACAGAGGGTGAGCTGGAGCAGAGGCGGCTGGCCGGCCAGGGGTGGGGCTGCATTGAGAACAGGTGGGTGTGGGGGGGCCTTCGGAGAGAGGCAGATGGAGAAAAAATGAGAGACTAGGACACACAGGAAGACAGGCTGAGAGAGACGGAGACAGACCTGGGGAGAGAGCAGCGAGAAAGCAGCACAGGTGGGATAAGGGACAGAGAGACAGACGTAGATGCTGGGGGCTGGGGGAAGAGAGGTGACAGTAAGATGGGGCAGCGGGTGTGGGGCGGCAGTGACAGGCCACTGAGGTCAGTGGGGGGTGTGGCATGGAGTGACACTGGGGCTCCAGAGGCCCCCAAAGCCCCTAGTCCAGCTAAGAGGAGCCCCAAGCTGGGGCAGAGGTGGGAGGCAGGGTGCAGAGAACGCCCCTTTCCCCCAGGGATCCTGGGCAGCGGGTTGGCAAGGGGGGGCTGGGGGCCAGGGCATCCCCTCACAACCTGGGCAGGACGCAAGGGTCAGGTTCCCAGCTCCTCCTGGGAAGTGGGGTGCTCCCCTCCCCTTCCCGCCCCGTCTTCCTCAGAGGGCTTTCTCCAAACCAAACTCATCCACACGGCAGCAGGCAAAGGCTGCAGCCTGCGCCCCTCTGCAGCCCGCTCCCTGCTCCCCAGACGAAGGCGCAAAGGGGGAGATGGCAGGCGTGGTGGAAGTCAAAATCACAGATCCATTCATTAAAGGAAAAAAAAGCGAAAATCCGAAAAAAAAAATCATGATAAAACGATGTGCAAATGATAACATGCCCCCACATCAGAGGGGGCGGGCGGCAGCTTGAGGGATCATCAGTGAGCAATCGACGGAGACGAGTTTAAAAACCAAATACCAAAACCAACAAAAAATGGGGGGAAAAACAAAAAGCAGAGATCTGAAAATATCTTTAGGCCACAAGACGGGGTGAGTGGGCGCGGGGCCGGAAGTCTTACCATCGCGAGGGGAGTCGTTGGCCAGCGAACCTCCTTCTCGCGACCCTTTATCGTGAGCAATTTGACGCATGATTATCGCGTCTATGAAGGTGGCCGCTGTCAGGGTGGTCTTACCCAGAGAACGGAGTTCCAATTCCTGGATGGAAAAGGGTTTACTTTGAGTCTTTTCCCGGTGCAGGTCCGCGGCCGAGACGGGTGGTGCCGGTGGGTCTGGGCTGGCGTGGTGGGGTGCGAGGCTCTTCGCTGGGGTGCGGGCGATGGCCGCGTGGCTGGAGCCGGGGGGTGCCAGGGCCCGGTGCTCGGAGCCCTTGCCAGGGGAGGAGGCGGGCTCCAGCCCAGTGCGGGCTGGGGTCTTGGCGAGGAAGGCGTGGCCAGTGTCCCCTCGGGGCCTCTCCGGCCGGGCGCCCCTCGGGGTCTCCTTGGGCAGCAGGATGGGCTCCATGAGGGTGGGGTAGACCCCGTCGAGGGTGCTGCCCAGCGGGCAGTGGGTGGCGGGTGGGAATGTGGCGGCAGGACGGACAGGCGAGGAGGTGGAGGTGGACCTGGGGAGGACAGCGAGGGGACCGGTCAGGCGGGAACCACAGGGGGCCCTGAGGCCCAGTCTGGGTCACTCCCTTACTCTAACTCCCTGGGGGTCCTGCCGCTGTGGAACAGTTTCCTCGTCCCTCACTGCTCCCAGAATAAACACCCCTCCGTACCCTGACCTGCGACACCCCACCCCATTCATGCACTCCATCGTCCCAAAACTTAACTGAGCATCTACTATGTGTCAGGCACTCTCCTAAACGCTGGGGCATAGCCGTGAACAAAGTTAACCCCTATCAGAGTGTGGCAACGGCTCAAAGACAACGATGCAGGGTGAGGCGAGAGAAAGGTCGGGCAGGGTTCGGCAGGATGGCTGGGGTCTCTCTGAGGAGCTAGCCTGTGAGCGGGGCTTGCTCAGGACACGTGCAGGGGCCACGTGAAGAACCCCAGGGCATCAAGCCTCCTCTGGTTTGCGACCATGGTTTAGACCATCAGCTCCTGGAGGGCTCGGCTTGCAGCAACCACTGCCGGGTCCCACACACCCAGCGCAGGCCTGCCCGGGAGAAGGAACGCACAGACGTGCAGCCTGATTTCACTGGGTAAATGTAATCACCCCCACTTTGCAGGTGAGGGAACTGAGGCTTGAACATGAACGTGCCTGACTCCACCTCACGCAGCCTGTCCGCCGGCCCTGCGTTTCCGTGAGGAAGTCCCCGTCCTTAGCTGGCCCTCACTCCTGACTCATCGGCTGCCAGTGGGAAGGACTGGGTTTTCCCGTGACAGTTTCTAATCGGCTGCTGCCAGTGGGGACAAAGAGTTGGCTTTTGTACACAACCTTGTGTCCGGTAACCTTGCCAGGTGCTTCTGTTTCCTGTGACTGCTGGGTACCTGAGTCCGTGGGGACGACACTTCTGGGAAGAGGCGTTGTCATTTTTCATAATGGGAATGAATCATGGGGGCTTGATTTAGAGCAGCCAATGGGGGGGCGGAACTTGTATGAAAGGAAACCTCATTTTGGAAAAAGCAGATCTGCCTTCAAACAGGTGCCTGGGCAGGGAGAGGTATTGGCGAAGCCCCTGCCCCTAATTAAGCAGCTCTGCCCAGTCCTTTGGGGTATTTGTCACCAGAGGGGAATGTGAGAGTCAGTGGATTCTGGGGGGCTTCTCTCATCTTAACAGAACCTCTGGATTTTGTCCAGAAAACAGGGATACCATCTTTTCCCTGTAGGGCACTGATGAATTCTGGGGGTGACCAGGAGTCTCTCCGCACAGCCCTCACCCTGTGTCTCCCTCTCCTTTCGACTGTACCCCTAAACCAGACAGCCGCCCCCACCTACTCATCCACGCCCCCCACCCCATCATCTATCTGTCCACCCAGCCACCTACCCACCTGCCTTCTAGCCAT